ATATATATAAAATAAACATAATAAGGACAGGGGCAGTTAATGTAAGCCAGCCTAATTTCATTGAAGTTAATGGAACTACTCAGGCTTGTACCAAGCGAAGATTTGACCCTTAAGCTGACTCTGTCGGATTCAGCTGAATCAGCACCCCACCTTAGTCTCTCTCTATTCCAAATTTCTTGCATTTGTCCCAGGACTTCCCACCAAGGCTCAAAGCTTATGCTTTCTTCTTCTACAGAGCTGCAAAATGTTTTAAAATACTCTGCACAAATTAGGTACGAGCATTGTTTTTGACAATAGGAGTGAAAATATTCCTTCATACTTACTGAATGCCCTACTGGAATTGATTCAGACTGTAAGTATTGACCCATGGACAACGCTGGATTATGGTACAAGCCCCTCCGGGGAGATGCTGCTCTAACAGAGGCCATGTATCTCCTCTCTCTCCTGGGAGACATATCTCTTCGAACAGACGCATCTTTCCCTGGGGATATGGGTCTCCGTGGCGATAGGTGACGCCTTGGTGACACCTCCCGTCTTGGTGATAATTCCCTCCTCAGCACAGCCTCCTTCCGTGGGGAAAGGTGCTTCATGGGCGAAATGTCTCTTCGGGGTGACAGATGTCTTCTGGGTGACAAATCCCCTTTTGGCATTAAATACCTCTTTGGTGAGTTATCTCTATAGGGTGAGGAATCGTAGCCGGGTGACGACTGTCGACTGGAAGGTGAAAAGTCCCTTGGAGACGAACTGGGGTCTAAGGAAAGCACGTAATCCTCATCCATGCAGCTAGGTATGTCCAGCCTGTCTTTATCGGGCTCTGAGTCGGTGCTCTTACTCTGGAAAAACCTCTGGTATTCTGTCATCTGGGAGTCTTCGCAGGAGTCGCTTGGTGTTATAAGCTGAGTAACCTGAATGCTGGGTAAGGTGACCAAGTAACTGATGAGGGAGGAGTGTCCCATGGAGAGGGAGCCCTCGGGGGAAGCCCCCTGTGACGCCCCAGCTGAGTTCACCGACAGGGAGGAGAACCGAGGGGGCTGTGGGCTGGTGCTTCTTGATCTGGTTTTTGGTGTTGAGTCTCCCTGAGTATCATCAAAATCGTCCTCATCTTCATCATCATCATCATTGTCGTCGCCATCCTCGCCATCCGACTCCTCCGCGTCAGAAAACTGGTGCTCTGCTGACAGGCCTGCCAGGTTGCTGCTCTTCTCGGCCTCCTGCTGCATGTCCTCCATGTTTTCTGAAACAACCACAGCAAGTCAAAACAGTGAGTGAGCACACACCCCATGTCTTATGCCTTCCTTCCGCCATGTTCCTTCCCCACCCGGCACACTCGTTGCCATCACTGGATGCTCTTCATCTGGGATGACTCCATAAAGCCAATCCTCACAGTCTCAAACCACAACTTTTCATAATAAAACCTTAAAACTTTATACTTGAAAGTATAAAAAGCAAATTTATCCTACCCCACCTTGCAGCTTTGCTAAATGTTGCCATCTTGCACGTCTAAACTGACAAGATTGGGAACTTGGTATGAGACAGATGACAACAGGTTGTGCTTTTATTTCTACCTCCTCCTCATGTATCTTAATAAAAAATGTAACCCAGACAAACATATTTGATTTATTTTTTATACTTCCTGTTTATTAAAAAAACCTCTTAATTAAAAAATGCCCCAAATACTCTGAATATATTTTCCCATGCCAGCCACTGTGCTGGAGTGCAGTGAGTCATTTGCATACTCCAGAGGCCATTCCAACTAAATTAAATCATTCTGACATACCTGCTTCTTCAGTTTCAGCATCATCTACAGATGTCATTGATACTCCAAGCTCCAGGCATTTTTTCATGTGTGCTTTAGACTTCATATGTTTTGTGAGATTTCCTATGGATCAGAGATTAATCTAATTAATGGACAATAGCACAGATCACTCTCCAAGTCAGGTTTTGGTGTATCTAACTCCTCCAGATGAGGGTTTTTTAGTTTAAATAAAGCCACAACAGACAGGGCTGACTCATCCAGCTCATTGCCCTCAGAGCCTGTTTTAATGAGAGTGGGTTTTTGTATCTTAAAAAAAATGACAAAAAATTTCAAATAAGCTTAAACTCAGGGCTTCAGATCTATATAGGCATCTCTCCAATTTTCCACATGGCATTTAAGCACCCCAGCAAGCTAAAAAACTCACTTCTGGATGTTACCTGTCTCTGGGCCCAGTGTTCATGATATGTGCAGACTGCCTGGACATCAAAGTAAGTTCAGTGGACAGTAGACATTCAGAGTTCACACTCCTAGTTTCAAAGTGTAACTTTCACGCTACAGTCCCTTCCATTTACCCCACATGTATGTTCAAAATGTTCAGTGTTTGAAGCATTTGAAGCCTAAGTATCCCACAAAAAAAACACATTTATGGAAGACTTCTCTATGCAAGTTTATCATCTAGCTGCAACCTCTGAACCGAGAAGAGCTGTACTTAGAGCATTCACTTGGGACACGGGAAATCCAGGTTCAGCTTTGGAGTACAGATCTGAACCAGATACAACAGGGATTTGAAATCAGATCTCCCATTCCTCTGAGGGAGCAATCTAACACTAGACTATTGACTTTCTGGAGTGCCTGTTTTTTCACAGATAAGAAAACTGTGTTGAGACTGGCCCCAAGGGATATTTCATGGCAAAGAATCCTGAGCACAAAGCACAAGCTGGAGAACCAAGAACATTGCTCTCATCTATTAGCCACATCAGTCACTTTTGCAACTGTTGTGGTTTGAGGCTTGGAATGGGGTCGTGACCTTCCAGCAACTGGGAGGACCCCGGGTGGGTGTGAAACCATTGTATTCCCTCCCCTTCCCACACACACTCTGATAAGAGGCAGGGAGTGGTTTCTTATTTCACTCCTGCCTTGGAGCTTGGAGAGGAAAGTTGTCCTTTCACTCTGTGGGACCCTGGAACCATTTCTGAGGGTTTTATTTTATCTTTTGTATTATTCCCCTAATCTTTGTATATATTATTTTCATTACCTCCCTTTTTCGTTTTCTGTTCCTTGTTGAACAATATACTTCATTTTTTTTCAAAAGTGTCTCTCTCTTTCTCTCGAGGCAGGGGGGAGAGAGGCGAGTACACAGTTCTGTTCCGTGTGGGTCCTGCCCTGAACCCCTTTTTACACGGAACCAGGACAGCAACACTCAAGGGGGAGAGCACGGCACAAGCAAACCCAACCTGCTACCAAGACATGGTGCTTCTTAGCTGAAGGAAAGCATCCTGTGAATGGACCTATGCTGCTTTTGGGACCCAAACCAGCATCTCCAGATGGTGCATGTGGCACATGCAACCTGGAGGCACAAACACTGCACCACTCTGTTGGATAGTGGAGGTGTGCTCAGAAGCTCAGAAGCCAGGCTCTTCTCCTCTGACTAACAGTCCTAGCTAGTTCAAATAATTCCCCTCTCAGTAAGAATTTCTTACTGCACCTGTGCATTGCACGAAATGTCTAACCTGGCCACTGATGCCTCTGGATGGCTAAACACTCAGAGTGTATACTAAAAAACCTAAGTATCTTTGAAGGTCTGCCCCCTACTGTTCTCAGCAAAATAACAATAGTTATGAGGCTGACAACTGCTCATAATACCAGCTTCTCCCTGTTTCTTCTTCTCTGCCATAAATGCCAGTCTCCACAAGCAACTTCACATTTCTTTCCATGCCATCCCTTCTGCCTGGAAAGTTCTCTCTGAACACAGTCGCAAAACCACAATCCTCCATCAAGTTCCTCCTCAAGATCCATTCCTCCAGCAATGTCAAATGTAAACAATGATCTGAGAACAGCACACCAGGATGTCTAGAATCATAGAATCACAGAATCATAG